AGTATGCTCTCTCCACCCCGGGTTCCCTGTGTCCATTCACCCAGTTCTGTCCCTTCCTGCATTCTTGTCTTGTTTTTGGGCAGGAGTTGCCCCTTTGGTCTTGTATATTTCATTGAACTAAGCAGCACGTTCCTCACGTGTGTTATTTTCTGTTTTATAGGCCTGTTCAATCTTTGTCTGAAAAGTGGGCTTCAGGAGTGGTTTCAGCTCTGAGTTAGCAGAGTGTCTGGGGCCCATAGTCTCAGGGGTTCCTCCAGTTTCTGTTAGATCAGTATATCTGGTCTTTTTTCAAGAATTTCAATTCTGTACATTTTTCTCCCATTCTGTCAGGGACTCTCTGTTGTGATCCCTGTCAGAGTGATTGGTGGTGGTAGCCAGGAAAAATTAATATATTTTTATGATTATAAAAATAATACAAATTCCTTATAGAAAACCTGGGAAATCCAGAGAAAGCATAAAGAAAAAAATTAAAAATTACCCTGTCACAACCCAGAGGTAATCACTGTTACATATCCTGGTGTATTTCCTTCCTGTCCTTTGTGTGTGCATATATTTCTTAAAGTAAATTAAAAAACACAAGTGGGATAGTATTGTATATATAATTTTTTATGTTATACTATTTACATATGCCCATATTATAAGTAATTTTGAGTTAGAGTATCTTTTCATAAATCTTTGATTGCATCTTGGATTTTTATTAGATTAAATAAAAGTAGATATTCTGTATAACTATGAAAAAATATGAATTAGAAAACAGTTGGAAAAGGTACAAATCTCACTATAATCTAGTTGTGCAAGAAAGATAATTTATTTTTCTATATCAACTTAATGTTTTCAAATATCCGTTCTGCTGGGGTTGCAGAGACTCAGATTTCTATTAGCAAATGCAAATCTCAGTCCTCAGAGGTAGGTGTTGAGGAAATAAAATTTATTTTTCTAGAATTCATCTTGATTTCTATTTCATTCCATTGAGATGACCCATCTGGGGCCATGTTTAAATACTAGTTGGCTTATAAAATGCCAAAGTATTGGGGAAGAAGTACATCTTGCCTTTGATACCAAATGTTTATTCAGGCACACAATTATCCTGTGTTGTCCTTGGTCATTGATCCACACTGCCAAGAGTTCCCTCATTTCTGTCTGCATGCCTCTTAAGATCCAATGACTTCTTTCCCTACTTTGATGCCAATTTTAGGGGAACAGGAATCATTCTGCTTCTCTGAACACTTCAACTTGGAAATCTCTGCAAGTCAGTTTTCGCTTGTGGATAGAACCAGTGAATATGATATCACATCGTGATTATGTTACATTATATGGCAAAAAGATTACCCAGGTAGGCCTAACTAACCACATGAGCCCTTTAACAGCAGAGTTTTTTTTCCAGTTGATGGCCAAAAAAGTTAGAGAGATTAAAGCATGAGAAGGACTCAGTGTAGGTAGAGCTGTCTTTAGCAGCAGAGTGGACCCTGGCTGATAGCCAGCAAGGAAATGGGGATGTTGGACCTACAACTACAAGAAACTGGATCCTGCCAACAACCTGAATGAGCTTGAAGCTTCCCAGAGCCTTCAGATAAGGGCCCAGCCTGGCCAACACCTTGATTTTAGCCTTCTTATATAACCTGAGCACAGAACCCACTCAAACCCGCCCAGACTTTTGCCCTACAGAGCTGTGAGACAAAGTTAATAAATGGGTGTTGTTTTAAGCCACTAAATTTGTGGTCATTTGATGCACAGCAATGAAAAACTAATACAAGGGATTATTACCTCATACCACCAAGACACAAAAGCCAGGAAAATAGCGTGTCCTTTGGACCTGGGGTCTCTGTGCTGAGAAGTTCTTCAACCAGGGGAAGATTGATGACAAGGACCTTCCTCTAGAGCCGACAGAGAAAGAAAGCCTTCCCCAGAGCTAACGCCCTGAATTCAGACTTGTAGCCTATTTGACTGTGAGAGAATAAATTTCTCTTTGTTAAAGCCATCCACTTGTGGTATTTCTGTTATAGCAGCATTAGATGACTAAGACAGAATTATGTAAAGGCATGATTTCCAGGGAGCGGGAATCATGGGAGCTACCCTAGAGTCTGTCTGCCACAGAAGCCTAGCCAAGATCAAGTCTTGCCCACATCAGTAGAGCCACCCAGCTAACTTGTAGAATCACAACCAATAATAAATGGTGGTTGTCTAAGCCACTAAGTTTTACAGTGGTTATGCATTAAAGCTAACTGTTACAACTTCTGAGATGAGAGAAATATGGAGCAATTCCTATTAAATGAAAAGCCCCACCCTAGATCCAAAGAAAATGAAGAATATAGAAAGAGTATGGGATCAGAGTTTGAGTCCACCACTTAAAATAATGAGTTACCATTTACTGAGTACTTGTTAGCACTCTGTAGGAACTTCATATCCAATATCTAATTTAATCCGTGTAACTCTATGAGATAGGTATTTCTAAGATTCAGTGATTCTATGCTGTATTTTCATTTTCTGGAGATAGATAACCTTGATACATTAACCATTCTATCCTCAATTCTTTCATCTATAAAGTGGAGTTAATTATACTACTTAGGTCACAAGATTCACTACTCTGTAAACTGTGAACTCCTGTGTAAATATTAGAAATCATTACTAGCAGCCCAGGATTCAGTTTTCACATATTATTTGCCAATGAAACTCATCCACAGTGAACTTTTACTATATCAACACTTGGTTTCTGAGATACGGCAGTTGTATGGGCCTGTCAGCCTTCCTGCTTGATCAGGACATACCAATTAGCCAAAAAAAGAAGCATGGATATAATCTAATTTACAAGTTAATGGTAAGCTCTGGCTTTGGAATTGGGGGAGGGGAGCTAATATATTTGAGGGCCTCTATGTTTTCTGTCCTATAGGGTCACTATAAGTTGGAATTGACTTGATGGCAATGGTTTGTTTTTTTTTTTGTTTTGGTTGTTTTAGGCAAGGAGCCCTGGTTGCACAGTGATTAAGCACTTGGCTGCTAATTGAAAGGTTGGCGGTTCTAACCTACCAACCTCTGCAGGAGAAAGATGTGGCAGTCAGCTTCCATAAACATTAAAAAAAAGAAAACCAAACCCATTGCCGTCAAGTCGATTCCGACTCACAGTGACCCTATTACAGCCTTGGAAACCCTATGGGGCAGTTCTACTCTGTTCTATAGGGTCACTATGAGTCGAAATCCACTTGATGGCAGTGGGTTTGGGTTTTGAGGTGTTTCAGGCACCATGCTAGGTGATTTACTTACATCAGCTAATTATGATTGAATTGGTTTGGACCGGGGCTGTAGCATGGGTGGTTTTAAAATTGCCCTGGGTGACTGTACTGTGTATTCGTGATTGAGAACTACTGACATACCAAATCTCATTATTTCTAATAGAAATCATCTAAGATAGGTTTTATGTCCATTTTATAGTACACAAATGGAGGCCCACAAGTATTAACTAACTTCCCCAAGGTCACACACCTAGTAAGGGAAAAAAAGGTCATTTTTTTCTCACTTCACCAAAATGACACATTTCTCGAGGAGACAATTACTCTCACCAAGCAAAGGAGATGCTCAGCCTTACCATATACTTGTATCTGTAAGTTATCAAGGCCTCCCTGGACATTCTCTAGTTGCCCAGCCTGGTGACACTGCAGCCAAATCATGGTAAGAGCCCTGGTTTTGGATTCATATCCCCCTGAGATGGACTCCTGCATGTACTTAGTTCTGTGGCGTGACAAGGCATTTTATTCTTTGAATCTCTGTTTCATAAGCATAAATTAGAGGCTTAAAAACATATCCAATAAATCATCAGTATATGCACCCTCACCAATGGAAATAAAGTGTGTGGTCCATCAGTAAACAGATGGAAAGCGGTAAATCAAATTAGAACTTTAGAATTTACTCCTTTTCCTAACACAAATGCCTTATATTTGGAGAAAGAATAGAAAGAATAAGGAGTCATGAAACCTAGCTGATGCTGGCACTTCTGTCCCTCACAACAAATTTCCAGAAAGTTATGTACACATGATAACACTAAGCCCAACCACAGGAAATCATTATGCTCTATTTTTTCCCACCCTGCCTCATTCCCTTGCCCCATGCCCGGGTCAGTACTCCAAGCTTTGCCTCTCCATTTAGGGGAAGAGTTGCAGATTTCATTTTACAGCGTATTGGTTTACGAAGGGGAGGGTAAATCAGAGCGGCTCCACCCATTTCACAAGAGGCGTGGAGATGGGCGCTCCTCTTTCCTCCCCCTCCCGGACCTGATGGCTGGGCTGACGGCCGGAGGGAGGGCCCTGTCCCCTGTCCCTTTAAGGAGGAGGGACGAGCACTGCCGAGAGTGCCGCCGTTGCCCCCACCCGCTCGCGCCCTCTTCCCAGAGCAGCTGCAGCCACAGCCCCGGCCGCCCCTCGGTTAGCAGAGTCCGCTCCGCCCCAAGCAGCGAGTCGCCACCATGGTGAAGATCGTAACCGTCAAGACCCACGCGTACCCGGATCAGAAGCCGGGCACGAGCGGGCTGCGGAAGCGAGTGAAGGTGTTCCAGAGCAGTGCCAACTACGCGGAGAATTTCATCCAGAGTATTATCTCCACCGTGGAGCCGGCCCTGCGGCAGGAGGCCACCCTGGTGGTAGGCGGGGACGGCAGGTTCTACATGAAGGAGGCCATCCAGCTTATCGGCCGCATCGCCGCCGCCAATGGGGTAAGGGACGCGCCGGGTCCTCGGCGGCGTGCACCCGGGGCGCGGGGCCGTGCGCGACGTGCCGGAGTGCAGCCCGCCCCCTGCCTAGCGGCTGGCCACTTCCGTGCGGCGCCGCCGGAGTCTCCACACCCTCCTTCTCTGCGCTCGCTCTTCTCGGTCCAGGGTCCCCGCGGAGGTCGCGGTGTGGGGGAAAGCGGCCACGCGACCCCGCAGAGCTGCTCTCCTGGCGCCCGGAGAGCGAGGAAGCGTGGCCGTGGGGAGCTGGGTTTGACCTTGGGAGGACCGCCCCCGCCCCCCGCCTCCTTGTCCTCCCTATTCCCGCCTCCTTTCCCTCCCGAGGCCTCTGACATTTACAGTAACCTTTCCAGTTTCTGAAGATACAGTTACAGCGCCGAGCACCATCGCCTTTACCAGGAAAGGTTAGACGGTCACCACCTTGCTCAAAACTACTTGCATCCCCTGTCGTTGCCTGCTATTCTCGTCTCGGACTGGCGGGCGCTTCTCGCTGACTCGGAACCCAACGCTTTGGGGCAGGAGCGGCGGGGGTACCCACCCACAGGTGCGTCAGGCCGGCAGCTATAAGGAGGCGGGAGCCTAGCCTTTTTCCCCACCTCGTAGTTCGCGTGGGGACAGAGCTCCTATCTTGGCGCAGCCCGGTTGCGGGCCTGCAGGCTTTTGAAAAAAACTGGTGTTTGCAGCTTGGTGCATCTGGATTTGTTCCACCTAGGGGGCTGGAGCTGAATATTCATTAGAACAGAAACAACATACCCCAGGGCACTCTTAGGCAAGCATTCGTGGCTGGCCAGGAAATTAATGCAACACCTCGGTTCCGCCGCCGCTAAGGTTCGTTAGCTGAGACTTAATTGGGCAGGTCCACTCAAATACGTGAAAACTTCAAAATAGATTATTCAGTAAACCCGAAATACGAAAATTGGCAAATTGGGGCTGATTATTTACTCACTTTCATAAAACATTTCAGCGAGTTCTTCTAAATAGCACTTTTTTTTCTATATTTATAAAAAGATTTGACTTATACCCAACTTCTGGAATTTATTCTCTCTACTAATATTTTTATTCATTTAAGTAGTATTTTATTAACTTACTACCTAGGGAGTGCTCTTTGGCCAAGCAGTTCACTTATGGTTGTCTCATTTATCCTCCTGCAGCCCTGTAAGATAAGTGATATTATGGGCATCTTCAAGTCGCCAATGAGAAAACCGAAGTTTAGGTAGGTTAAATAGTTTACAGGAAGTATATTGGCAGAGCTGAGAATCCAGTACAGATCTACCAATTCTAATTGAGCAGCTTCTGGGAATGAAGGGACTCTTGGATCTAAAGATCTATTTTCCAGTATCTCCAAATCTAAACTGGACCCTAACTACTGCTGCCTCATTGGGTTAAACATTTATAAGCATCAAGGAGGGAAGATTATCTGGGTTTATTTTCTGTATGCTCCCAAGTTGTCAGACAACCACAAATTCCCATGAAAGAAGAGCAGAACGAGCAAACAGTATCTGTATCCTAGTTTTTGTTGTGTGCCGCTGAGTCTGGTTTGACTTGTAGGGACCCGATGATAGATCCCGTCATTTCCCTGCTACTACTGATGCTGAGTTTACTTTTCATTCATTCATTCAACAAATATTGACCTCATACCATGTACAGAGAAATGTATGAAATAAAAAGATGATTCAGATGCAAGCCCTGTCCTTAAGGATTTACAGCATAGGGGGAGTTATAGGTATCCAACTGGAAAATTGTCCACTTGGGAGTAGTGTGAGTTGAGGAGGAAGGAATTAGTTAAGACTGAACAAAAATATGTTCTTGAACCCTTATCACCCTTTAACTACTACCCTATTGCTCTCCCCTCTTTCAGCCAAACTTTGTAAAAATTGTCTGCATTCTCCATCTCTGACTTGTCACCTCCCATTCACTCACCACCTCAATGTAACCTGGCTTCTGCCTTTCCACCACGCCACTAAAATTCTTCTTGTCAAACTTACTAAGGACTTTCTGGTCGCTGAATCCATTGGATACTTTTTAGGCCTTGTCTTACTTGACTTCCCTCCTGCATTTGGCACTGCTGATTTTGCACTCAAAGCTCTCAACTCCCTTGCCTTGACCACTCTTCTCCTTCTCCTGATTCTACTCACGCTTTTTTGAGAGTTCCTACAGGGTCTGCTTGCCCTACGCCGAACCCAGCTGTTGCCTAGGTTTCTGTCCTCAGCTCTCCGCTCTCTGATTTTATTCTTTCTCTCTCTACTCACCAGGAATTTAAATATGCTACTCCTTATGTGGTGTGATTCAGTTCAGATAGCATCTTCCAAAGGCTTTCCCTGCCTTCCCTTCTCCTGTTAAGTGCTCCTTTCCCATGGATACCTCTAGAATAGATTAATCAAATTCCAATGAAATTGTTCACATGTTACAATCTCCCACTAGAGAGTAAGCTTGAGTCAGGGTATGTATCTGTATCCACAATACCTAGGACAGTGTAACATTCAGTGAGTCCATGTTCAGTTGCCTTGAATTGTATTTCCAAAATCTGTATTTCTAGCACATAACTTAAAGCCTGCATATAGTTGGTGACTGTTAAATTTTTTCTCATCAAACATTTATTATGTACTTACTTTGTATCAGGATTGTGCTTAGCAATTGGGATACAAAATAGCCTTTTTGTTAGCAAACATATAGTCTAGAAGAGGAGGTAGACTAGAACAGACAGACAATACAATGTATTGGGTGTTTAAATGGAGGTTTGTGCCAGGTAATGAAGGGGCAAGAGCATGGAGAGCTGTACTTTGGAGGAAAATCGAGGAAGGCCTCACAGAGGAGGTGGTAGCTCATCTAAGTATTAAAGGATGAGTTGGGATTCCCAGGGTGGGTTTCTCAGGCGAGAGGAGTTCTAGGCAGTACGAATAGAAATCGTGGGAATTGGGGGTTGTTTTCTTGGGCAAATTATTTAATTTCTAATCCTTTTTTTCCTCATCTGTAAACATCAGGAATGACTACGTACTCAGAGAGGTTGTTGTGAGGATTAAATAAAACAACTTACTTGTAAGTACAGGGCACTACTGCCTTCCTACCGGGAAGATGCTTGAATGACAGTTGTGGGAAAACCTCAGGCAGTCTGGGGCAGGACTTTATGTTATTAATGTTCTACTGATATCCAGACACTAAATTTATCTAAATCTCCAACCTGATGCAGCTGCCATTAGTCCCCAGAATAGATCCATTATCTCCGGCCTTTCTCCAGTCCTCAATGACCCTGACCAATATAGAGCAATTCCACGATAGGACCCAACTGAGTGCAGATGATTTAAACCTGGCTCAGAGTAGCCCACCAAAAAAACCAAACGCATTTCCGTTGATTCCGACTCATCGTGACCCTATAGGACAGAGTAGAAATGCCCCCATAGGGCTTCCAAGGAGCAGCTGGTGGATTTGAACTGCCAGTCTTTTGGTTAGCAAACATAGCTCTTAACCACTGTGCCACCAGATTAGCCCATGTTACTGAAAAGTCCAGGAGATTCCCAGTGCAGACTTCTTGGTTCGAAACATTTCTGGTTTCTAAAAATCACTCTTGGTTCCACTATTAGGAATTGAGGGGGAGAGGTGACAGTAAAAACAAGTGAGGATTTTGATACTTTGAAGGATAATTTATCATTATCCTAAACAAAATAAGATAGATGCCTTTATGGGAACTTGTGAAGAAGCAAGGTTTTTAAAAATCAATCCACAGAGAATCTTAACCTTCTTAGTGTCAAAGACCCCCTTTGCAATGCTAGGGAATAATTTTTTAAATGAGTAAAACAAAACACAAAGGATTACAAATGAAACAAAAAGTATATTGAAATACAATGACAACGATATGAAACTAAATTTGTGATACAGCAATACATGTGCCTGTTTATTAATGCATTAAATAATAAGATGTAGTGAAGTATCGAATACTACCTTAATGAGCATAAACAATATGCTCAATATGGACCCCCCTGAATTCTACCCATGGATCTCATGGAGGTCCAAGGACCCTGAGTTAAGAACCCCTGCAGTTAACAAATGATCCCCATCTAGTTCCAGGTACTGCCTGCACCAGAATACGCCTTAAATACAGGACCCAGAGATTAAGGGTCTCATGTTCTTAAGACCAAGCCCGCTGGGCTTTGAGAACTTCACTTTACAATGATTAAACTTTACTTATCTCCCATTTGGAATAAATCACACTTTGAACTTTCTTGATAGGCCCATCTATAAATACTGTTGAAGGAATGTGTTTCTGGATATTGTTCACAACATGTACTGAGAAGGCAATGAAAGAACAGGAAAAGGAAGATTTGGGGACTATGAGGTAAATGGTGTTAGGGTGGAGGGACCTTGCTTCCCTTACTTAATACGGGATATCCTTGGAGCAGGGATGACTTGTCAGAGAAACATCTTTGGGTCACTTTTTAATATGCCATAACTTTCATGTTACAAAAAAGTCCTTTAATTATGATGGGCTTAAATGATGGTTCTTCCCTTGTTTGTACTGTCCAATTCTGAATGATCATGAAACAGCAGTATGAATAAATTGTCCTTTTCCATCCAGCAGTGTACGATCTTTTGGGGGAGGAGATAAGACACAAGAAATACATACACATAAAAAGAACTGAGTTAGAAAAAGTGCTGAGTTCAGAGAAGGGAGATAACACTCTGTACTAGGGAAGGAAGAGGTAGAACTTGAATTGTGTCTTGAAGAGTGGATAGCATGTGAAAAGAGAAGAGGGAGCCTACTTTCAGGTGAGGGGAACAGAGGGGAGCGGTAAGGAAGAGGAATGGACAGGACTATTTTTTTAGAGCTGGGTACTTAGCCACTTAACAGTCTTTGTTACACAAAATATTTAAATCAAGTTGTTCAGGAGCTTCTCTTTCTCTCAAGAGAGAATGTTCTTGCTAAAGGTAAAGTCTTTTTTCCTTTTTTAACCAAATCAAATGACCACAGAGCATTGAAGACTAAAAAGGAAAACATTCTCCCTTTTCACAATAATGTTTCCTTTGGTAAACAAGGTTATATAGGGAAGAGTGATATGTTGTCTTGGGAAGAGTGATTCTTTAAATATTTATCCAGCACCTACTAGGTTCTGGGCCCTGTTCAAAGCTTTCTCAGCAGCGAACAAAACAAAGTTTCTGTTCTCACAGAGCTTATCTTTTAGTGGAGGGAGATAAATGATAAATAAATACATGTCAGGTGAAGGTAAGTACTCTGAAGAAAAATAAAACATGGTAAAGGAAGACAGCGCTAGAAGGTAGGCTGCTTTTTTTGGTGAGGTGATTAGGAAGGCCTCTCTGATAAACTTCATTTGGAGACTGAGTGAAGTGAGGGAGTGAACCACGCAGATATCTGTGCAAAGACTTCCAGGCAGAGGAAGAGTTAAATGTAAAGAATAAACATAGCTAATCATTTAACACTGGAAAATTATGTTCCAAATAAACATAGTATAAACTTTGTACAACAACAACAAAAAACCAAACCCATTGCTGCTGAGTCAATTCCAGCTCATACAAAGGACCCCAAAATGCTATGAAATTTTACATATACCAAACTTGTTGCCATCGAGTCGATTTCAACTCTTAGAGACCCAATAGGACAGAGGAGAACTGCCCCACAGAGTTTCCAAGGAGCGCCTGGTGGATTCGAACTGCCAACTTTTTGGTTAGCAGCTGTAGCTGTTAACCACTGTGCCACCAGGGCTCCAATTATAAATTTATCTTGGATAGTGAGAATGGTACAATAAGCATTGCTCAAATACTTAAATCAATAAATTTTTTGTACTCTTGGACTTTAGAAGAGCTTTCAGGAGAATGCTTTGAGTGGGCTACATCTCTAAGAACAGTTACGCTGAAAAGTTTGGGCTGATCCATTCTTTCTCGCCCCCTAAATTCCTCTGAAGTCCACACAGACAGTCATTCTGTTGACTTTGAGCTGTCTTGAGAGTTGGGATTCACCTTTTAAAAATGGCTACGGAGCATCTTTAGTAAATATTTGAGGGTTCTTCAAAGTCTTCAGAGTCCCTAGATGGTGCAAATGGTTAACATGTTTGGCTACAAATGGAAAGGTTGTCCATTTGAGTCCACCCAGAGGTGCCTTGGAAGAAAGGCCTGGTGATCTACAAAAAAATCAGTCATTGAAAATCCTGTGGAGCACAGTTTTACTCTGACATATGTGGGTCACCATGAGTTGGAATCGACTAGAGGGAAACTTTCTTTTTTTTTTAAACCAGGGGCTTCAGTTGGGAGTATTTGGAGAAGACTTTTTGTCTCCCTTCCCATTGCTTCTCCGAACCACCATCCAGAGCTCAGAGCTGAGTCTCCTGAGGCATAAAGATAGAAAATGTGATTCAAGCCCTGAATAAGCACAATGATGATGGTCAATCAAATCATGCCAATAAGGATTTAATCATGAATCAGAAACACCTTGAACATTGTGTTTTTTCATTGGAAACATTTTCTTTCTTTTTTCCTCTTTATGAGTACCCCAAAGTGTTTCTGAAAGGATCAAATGCAATAGACTGTTGGTGGGACAGAAAGATTTGGTTGACTCATCCAACTTGTAGTAAATTGTGGAGCTGGAACTGGTACTATGGCCTTCTGATATTTCATCTAGATTTTCTTTTCTATAAATATATCCCAGAACAAATAGTTCTGAAGATTGATATAGTTTCCTGGTTAAAAGTTTAGGAAAAATGGATTGAACAATGTTAAGTAGAACTCTTCAGAGCTTTTAATATACAAATGAGTCCCGTGAGTTTGCAAGAGGACTCCAAAACAGTTTTGGGAAATACCAGTCTACACCACTCTAGCTTGATATGCCTATCTATAACTTACAAGAGACTTCCCAGATCTAAGTTTAATTTCTGTTGCTAATGACATGCAGGGTTTATTTTGGCTACAGACACATTAATTTGATTTTGGCTATTGTTGAGCATGTTTAATTCAGCCCAAAGAGTACTTTCCTCCCAGGTGACCGTGTAGTAAGGCTTTGGGGTAAGTGACAAAAGTTCTTCTGGCTAAATATTGTCCCCATATACTATGCTACCTATATGCTCACAAGCACCTCTGTTGCCAAAGGGTAAGTTGAAAAGATTACTACTTTGGATGAGTCCAGTGGCCTTAATCAGTGTGGTGTAGTGACCACTCAGGGGCCAAATCAATCAGTGTGAGGTCCCAGGCACTGGCAATAAGCTCAGGTGAGCTGTTTAGTTACTGTACTGTGTCCTAGGATACAGCAGAGGACAAGACAGGCCCAGTCCTCGCCGTTGAGATTTGGTTGGAGTCCAGGTGAACTACAGACAAGCAAACCAACAACTGCTACAAGGTACAGTGAGCACTGTTATGGGGGTGAGCGAGGCAGGCTATGAGAGCAAAAGAGGTGTGCCTGACTCAGGCATAGGGAACAGGGAAGTGACATCTAAACTGACCTGCAGGTGAAGAGGAGTGTTCCACGCAGAACCAGAGGTGAGAGAACATGTTGAAGAGGTAGGTTAGAGACCAACTCGACTCTATATTCTTGGTTCATACTCTACAAGAAGCAACTACACTAAAGCAACACCTCATGTTTGCATTTTACAAGGTACTTCCACCTACATTGCTTCATTTCCTCTCTACAACAGACCTTTCAGGTGTCCCAGGCCCATGGTCACAGAGTCAAGAAGAGAGACTGGGAACTGTCGCTGCAGCTTCTAGAAAGTCAGAGATGTTAAAGTAGAAAACACAGACCCTTAGGACCATATTCCAAATACCAGGTTCCCACTGGAAGTGGTTGAGGATGCTGTGAGTCTCAGGGAAGTTTTAAGCAGTAAGTGAGCATTTGGAGCAGGGAGGTGTGCAGACCTTGCTACTTGGATTGAGACCACTTTTCTCACTATTGGATTGAACTGAGACCAGTTTATTGAATCACAAGATAAAAGAAGAAGAGAAATCCATAGCAAGGCTTGACTGTTTTTCTTCCTTTGATGAACCACATAAAAAATGGAAACTGAGCCAGTAGAATATAGTTCTATATCCAGTTGGCCTCCCTAGGATCAAAGGAGCAAATCATTAACTACCATCCAATTAATACAAGAAAATCACATTTCACATGGGATGGGTTCTAGAGTTAGAATGGAAGACGAAGCTCTAGTGTAGTCAGAATCATTCTTAAAATCCCCTAGGAATGGAGATCAACATGTGCAACACAAATATGTGTGTCTTTAAATACCAGAATCACACTCAGCAGAGCAAGATGCTCATACTTTGAGAGGCATGTGGAGACTAAGACTGACGGAGGGTTTGTGGCTGTTGAATGAAATGGTGGCAGAATTGCCCACATTACTTAAATCTCAGTCTTCCTCCTTCCTCTCCCTGTCAGTTATATAGAGTGAATTTGTGCCATATAAATCCTTGTTTGATGTAACTCCACTGCCAATTCTTGCTGCTACTCTAGTAGCACATGTGAGAAGCACCTCAGTTACAATTTCAGCACGTGCAATTCGGAGAATCATGCCTTTGTAGATTTTAACTTGGCTTATATTTTAACTGTTAGTTTTCCTTAACAAGACTTGGTCTTCCTGTTGTAGCTCAGTTTTAACTGCTCTGGAAGATGGTGCTCAGAAGTGCCTCCCTAGGGCCCTCAAAGTGAATTTGACGTACATCTTGTATCATATATTTAAAGTCAAAACATTTGTGCAATTACACAGGTTTCACTGTTAGAAGCCTAAAACAACAGTAGGTTAAACAAGATAAAAGTTTCTCTTTCTCTCTCTTATGGAATAGTCTGGGTATAAGCAAGCCAGCACTAGTATGATGGATCCACGTTATTGGGACTTCGCGAACTTCGCCTACTTCAGTCTTGTTGCTCCACCATCTTGAGAGTTTTGCCCTCGCCCATCTAGTTCAAGATGGTTCCCCACCAGTGTATTCATATTCCAACCAATTGCCTCGGGAAAAAGATGGAGCAGAGTACTTTTTCCCTTTAAACAATCTGGAAATTCCACACTTCACTCCCATTGGCTATAACCCATTGGCTAGATCTTAATCACATGGCCATACTACTTGCAAAAAGGGCTGAAAAAATATTGGGAGGTCATGTGGCCAGCTAAAACTAGATGGTTCTATTACCTTAAGAAAGGAAGGGACAACTGGACATCTGTCATGGTCTGCCTCTTTGCCCATGCATATAACCACGTCCATTCTTCCTCGCACACATAAACACATTCACCCTTCTCCAGGGGAGGCACCCCAAGTTCCTTCCAGTTACCCAGTCAGTTTGGAATCCAGACTGAGCTCTGGGTGATACTGGGTTCTCTCCGTCGGGTCCATGTGTAGCTCCTTGTGGTTTAGCATCTAATAAATTTAAAGATGAATTATCAGCCTTCCTACTCTGCTACCCCACCCAGACACATGATTATATGCATATTAGCTGAATAGAGCAAGATATTTACAGTAAAAATTCCCATTAAGAAAAGGAAAGGACTAGAACACACAGCAGTCACCAGCCATTGAGTTCACATTCTGCTGTCAGGGAATGTGGACTCCCTGCCCTGGCGGTGGAGCAGGTGCTAGGGAGCTGCCCTCTGGGAGGAGCTGTTTATTCTCTATCCTCCAGGTTCACTAAGAAGTGGACTTTGGAGAGGAGACCCTGAAAGCTCTTCTGGGAGCTGCCTACCTTTTGCAACCTGCTTCCTGCTGATGGAAGTTTAGGGGTAGGAGGGCAGGGGTTGCTTGTGCAGGCCAGGCTTATGGTTTCTTTGGCTAGACAGTTTCCTCAAAAACAGTAGATTTCTGGCATGTTCTGATCAGTTCCAAGTGCTGGCAACCACAGTGAAAGTTCTCATCTAGATAGTTTTGAAGTCTGAATACTCTGACTTTTATTTATGACCTCTATGCTCTGTCTCTCCTCTGATTTCTCCATCACTGATGGCCACCTTGAGACAATAGGAAGTCATAGGCTTGGGTAAGAAGGTAGCATCCTTAATCTGATCTTTGCTGGGGGGCTAGGAAAAAAATACTGGGAAAGCTTTGAGATCACAGTCTTTTCTTCTGCTAAGCCTGCTGCTTCATATATAGCTGCTTCAGTTTGGGTATACAAATAGTTGTCCTTTTCAACTCTGCAGGGCCATAAATTGTTGGACTTTGGCAATGCGGTTTGTAGACCACAGTCAAAGAAAACTTCCCTTCACAAAGCCATAGCCTCCATCATTTCTGCTGCAGACTGTCTGGCTCTAGTTTCAGCTCCTCTGTATATTGTGGCAAGAAGTAGCCAACAAACACTCACGTTCTAAATTCTTCCAACCATTTGCCTAGAGCTACAGGTTTGGTTGGCCAGTGGTCTGCCTTCCAACGTATCTTAGGTAATAATTTTACTAAATGGTTTGCCATGACATAAAAACCATGCCAATGCCACATATTTTAGATTCTGTTTTGGTACAGAATACCATATTTTCTGTATATAGGTTTGGCTGCTGTAACAGAGTTCCAAAATAAGTTACTTAAACAAAATAAAAGTTTATAATAATAGAACGCAGGTAGTCCAGGGCTGGTGTGGTGGCTTCATGGTATAAAGAGACACATGTTTCTTTTCTGTTATGGCTCAGCCTTCCCTAGGGTGTTGCCCTTATCTGTATGGTTCATCTTGTCATTCCAGCCAATAAGAAGGGGAGATGGAGAAAGGGAGGTATGGCCCTTCTCAGAGGTTACACACATCAATTGTACTCATGTCCCATTGGCCAAAACTTAACCTATGACTATTTGTGGCAGCAAGGGCAGCTGGGAAAAATCAACTTTATTCTGGGCACCATGTGTCAAGTTACCATTATGGGGGGATGGGGAGTTTCTATAAAGCTAAATGAAGAGGAGAATTGATACTGTGAAATAACCAATAGTCTCTACCGCACTATCCTAAGCATATCTTCAAAATTTGGTGAAAAAATCACTAAGCTATTTTCAAGTGATGGGGTTACAGAGAGAAGATATAAACTTAACTTTATAGAGATAACTAGATTTTTGGAAGGGACTTTGGCTGTCATTTATGCCAACCACTTCTTAGAAAGGGACCAAGGCACAG